GAAGAATGTGATAGAAAGTCTGGATTGGAATGGAGAGGTGCTTACTGGTGAAGAGGATATTGCAAGAGCCCTAGTTGAGCATTTTAAATCCATCTTTCACAGCCCTAGTAGTGTGAGAGAGCCTCTAGTTGATTTTGAATGGCAGATGGGTGACAAAGAATTGATGGAGTCCTTGGAAAGACCTTTTGAGAGTCAAGAGATAAAAGTGGCCCTTTTTCTCTATGGATAGGTCAAAAGTGAAAATCCCCGGGTCCAAATGGCTTTACAACGTCCTTTTATCAAGATTGTTGGGACATTTTAAGGGAGGACTTGATGGAGGTATTCTCAGAATTCTTTGAAAGAGGGAAAAGTAATTCAGGTGCAAATGCGACTTTTTTAGCTTTGATCCCTAAGAAGGTGGGTGCATGCCATGCTAAGGATTTTAGGCCCATAAGCTTGATTGGGAGCATGTATAAGTTAATTTCCAAAGTTCTTGCCTTGAGGATTAAAAAAGTACTCCCATCTTTAAAATCATCGAATCAAGGGGGTTTCGTAGCAGGGAGACAAATCATTGACCAAATCCTTATTGCTAATGAGTGTGTGGATTATAGGAAAAGAAAAGTTGGAAAGGGCTTGATTTGTAAACTTGACCTAGAAAAAGCCTATGACTTGGTAGATTGGGACTTCTTGTTGGATGTTTTGAAAAACAAAGGCTTTGGAGAGAGGTGGTGTAACTGGATTAAAGGTTGTATAACTACTTGCCACTATTCCATACTTGTTAACGGTGTTGCTAGAGATTTCTTTCATGCTAAGAGAGGTCTCAAACAAGGAGACCCTTTGCCCCCCTTCCTTTTGAGTGTGTTGATAACTAGGGCTGACTCAAGAAATTTAATCAAGGGTTGGAGAATTGAGACACACCAAGTGATAGTCACAAACTTACAATTTGCGGATGATATCATCCTTTTTTGTGAAGGGGAACCAGAGGAAATGGAGAATTTGAAGCTCTTAGTGACACACTTCGAGAGGGTTTCTAACTTGAAAGTTGATTGGAATAAGAGCTGTGTAGCGGGATTAAACTAGCAAGAAGGAGAGGAGATACTTGTGGCAACATCTCAAGGTTGTGGGGTAAGTGATTGGCCTATGGTTTATTTGGGTTTACCCTTTAGGGGGAAACCCTATATTAGAGAGTTTTTGGCACCTAGTTTTGGAGGATTCACAAAGAAACTAGTAGGATGGAAGAGAAATTACATCACTCTAATCAAGTTTACTTTGGCCAACCTACCAGTTTATTTCTTGTCCACTTTCAAGCTTCCTGTGAAGATAGCAAGTCAAATTGAAAAGTTGATGAGGGATTTTCTTTGGGAACCGAGTGACTCAAAAAAGGATCACCTAGTGAAGTGGGAAGTTGTCACTAGGAGGCGAGAGGACAGAGGCTAAGGTATTGGTAATATTAGATTAAGGAACCTAGCCTTGTTAGGAAAGTGGTTATGGAGATTTCCCTTAGAGCAGGAGAGTTTGTGGCATAAAGTGGTGGTAAGCATTCATGGTTTGGCAGCAAATGGATGGGATGCTGGCGTCAACCCCAGGGCCTCTCACCACTCCCCTTGGAAAGTAATCGTTGGAGTCCTACCTTCTTTTCAACCTTTCACAAGTTATGATGCTTGCTCAGGTAACAAAGTTCTATTTTGGGAGGACAATTGAGTTGGGAATGCTCCTCTTAAGGATAGGTCCCCAGTTATGTGTTCTCTTTCGTTAAACAAATTGAAGGTCATTTACTTTGTTCGTGTGAATGAGGGTTCTTGGGATCTAGGACTAAGGAGAGGATTGAGAGACTCAAAAGTGGCCTCCACAGATGAGTTGTTCTCTCTTTTGGGTGCAGTTTTCCTAGATCAGTCTTGCCCAGATACTAGAATTTGGTTAGAGTCCTCCTCAGGGTTTTTCTCTTGTTCTTCTTTTCTCAATGCCTTACTTAGTTCTGATGTTGTGTCTACCCCTTTCCCTACAAAACAAGTGTGGGCTACTCCTGTTCCACCAAGGTTAGGGCTTTCTGCTGGGAAGTGGTTTCCAAAAGGTCAATATTTTGGATGTACTTCAAAGAAAAAGGAAAGGCTGGTGACTTTCCCCTCATGTCTATTGCCTTTGCCTGCAGAATGGAGAAAAAGTGGCTCATCTATTTATTTCCTGTCCTTTTACTTCTTGTATTTGGGATTGATTCTCCTCTCTCTTTGGTTGTAGGTGGACTCCGTCGTCTCTGCAAAACCTTTTCGACTCTAGCTTCTTCCAGTTGCCAAAGAAGAGAAGCAGGGTGATGTGGAAAGTAGCAAGAGCAGTTGTATTATGGTCAGTGTGGGAGGAGAGAAATAATAGGACTTTCCAAGGATAGGAAAGAACCAAGGAAAAAGTTATAGAGGGCACCACTACCAGGATAATACATTGGTTGAAAGCTTTGGAGCTTTTTAAAGACTTTTCTTTCACTGACTTCACTAGAGGATGGAACGTCATAACTAGTTTCTCATCTTTCTCCCCATCAGTTCAGGAAAGTTGGACCCCGCCATCTTGTTCTAAAGTGAAACTAAACTTTGATGGAAGCTCTGTTGACAACCCGGGCCCCTCAGGAATAGGGGGTGTTTTCAGAGATGAGGGAGGTAGAGTGCTGGCCCTGTATTCAGGCCCTATAGGGGTGGGAGACTCCCTAAGAGCAGAAGCTTTTGCTTTACTCCAAGGTCTTAGATTGGCAATGCATTGCGGATTGCAACAAATAGAAGCAGAGGGACTCCAAACTGGTAATAGGTTGGCTGCAATCTAGAAGCTTGGGCACGTGGCTTTTCAGTCATCAGATAAGGGAAATCTCAAGCTTAGCTAGGGAGATTGGGGTGAGATTTATTTGGGCAAGAAGATCAGCAAATGGCATGGCTGATGCTTTAGCAAAGCATCAGCCAATAGGCAAGAGTTGTTTTAGGCCTGTTTTTGAGACAGTTTGTATCAAAGGGTTCTCCATCCAGCCCTTGGATGGTGGCAGATGTAATTTTTATCCATTATTAATGAAAGTTACCATTTCCCATCAGAAAAAAAAAACTATGCCTTGAAAAGACATAAAACATGGTGAACCAGAAGTTTACTTTTGCTGTTATTTGAAAACATCTTAGAGATGGTTGATAAATGAATTAGAGGATGGACAAGTTTTTCTTGGTTCTCAGAATGGATAAGCATTCCCGTAGTAGTCTTTTCAGGTGTAAGGTATCCTCTCTCTCCTCTTCTCTAACATTGGTGGTTGACATTTTGAACTCATTCATCCTCAAAGCTGAAGCTGAAGGATTCCTTCATAATTTCGAGGAAGGCAAGGATCCAAATTTCTTAATTTCAGTTCACCAATTACACCCTATTGTTTTCTAGAGACCAGACAAGTGAGGCCATAAAAATAAAATTTGAAAAGAGAAATCAATGAGACAAAGACGTTAATGTGGCACACAACCTATTGGTGGATTTGCAATATCTTGGGGCTTAAATAGGAAGAATGGCCCATCAAATATTTGGGAATGCCTTTGGGAGGGACCCCTAGCATCACTTCCTAGGATCCAATGATTGAAAATGAGATGGACTCACTTTCAGAAAAACCTATTTGTTTTAACCTCCTCTTGTACGTTCTATCAGTGTTGAGCATTCTTTAAGTAATTTCCTTTGGGATGGGGTGGGAAGAGAGGGAGGGGTAGGAACGAGCCGCTTCTCTACTCTTGAAAAATGAGCATGGTTGTTACCATTTGAAAACATTTCTTATTTGCAAAAATCATGGGTTAAAATCTATGGATGGGAGAGCAATCTATAACTGTATCAAATTTTAACCGATGTCTGACAAGTTATTCTCTCTCGCTACTCCACAGTCATTCCACTTTGACATGGGTAAAACAGTGGCAATCATATCAGCTTCCAACTCCAGTGGAAATCATATCGGCTCAAGCCTAAACCTAACCTGAACTTCCCAACCCAACTCAACACAACACTTTGGGTTGGGTTTGGGCTAACCTGGCTCAAGTTGCATCCTACCCTTGAATCACACCATGATGTCTGACCCTACCAAAGGATGGAATACCATTCTTAGGAGATAGCAGTAGATAGTGGATAGATTCTCATCATTATCATCCAGCCTTGTCCCAACTATATGGGGTGGTCTCTCCCACCACCAAACAAAATACAGTTCAATGGCTGTATCATGAGCAATCCAGGTAGCTCAGGTGTTAATGGAGTTCTCAGAAATCACTGAGATGCTATCATGACTATTTTCTAATCCTATTGGTTATGGAAAGTCATGCAGGGCTGGAATGAATGCAGCACTTATTGACTAACGTTAGGGAAAGACAATATAGTGGTAGAAAGGGACTCAAACAAGTGATCAGAAATCAACAGTTTTGGGGGTACATGAATGCATTATTGAAAAGTTTTTTAGGTTATTTACAAAAAAAAAAGGGAAAGAAGGAAAAGTTTCTGAGTTAGGTAGTATCTGCTAGCATGAAACTCTAGGGGTGCTTGGCTCATCTTTCATTTTTCTACAAGTAATAAAATCTGTCATGTTACCAAACAGAAAGAAAAAGGTAACCAAGGTACTAGGCACTTGTGGCAATCAATTCAGCAAGCTAAAAACTTGATCAATCAGATAAACATCCTCTTCAGATGTGTAGCAAGATCAGATAATTACTTAGCTAATTCACTAGCAAGGGGAGGGCCAGCTTGATTGATTTGTATAAGGGACTTAATCCCAGAAAGCAAATTTTTTGTATTTTGGTTTCTTGATTGTATTTTAGACTTGGAGAAGTCTGGCATTTTGAATCTATCTCTTGCTCCTTGAACTAGTCTGATCGCATTCTCATTATTATAAATGAAGTTATCGATCAAAAGAAAATGGATTAACAGTAATAGCAATAAAACATGTAAGAAAAAAGGATAACCAAGTTAGAGGAGCAGGACAAGTGATTGAGTGGGAAAAATAATGTCAGCCTCATAAATCATCCAGAAGTTAATGAATATACCGTGGATAGTGCCTGCTAAGTAAGCTTTCCATCAACTTGTCAGAGGAGCAACTCTCATTGGGCAATTTCTGCTTCAGTATGCTCCCAATTCCAACTTCTTGGTTAGAATGTATACTCTTTTGTTCCTGATCTGGAACTGAATCTGGATTTTCATCATCACCAAAATCAAAGAGGTGCAACACCTCCTCTTTAGACATGGTTCTATGTATTTGTTGTCTATCAACAACCCTTGCAGCAAGACCTTCCTTAGTCACCTGTTTAAAGTAAACTCTACATAAAAATCAACTCAGGCAGAATATCTAATATTAACTTTTACATTTTATGAATGATTAAAGGCTTTAGAGGGGCATTTGCTCCAAAAAATTAAAACCTGGTAGAATAATGAAACACCATGAATGAACCATTTAATTAAATTCTTGGCTTATTACCTGGCGCTTATATATCTTTTCTTCCATTGTTCCATGTGCCATCAACCGGTAAGCATAAACTGGTTTCTTCTGGCCATACCTACAAGCATGGAATAGAAACTAAGGGTAAAATAACATGCAAAAGAAGGAAACTTGTCTCCTATAGAAACCAAATTTTATCTCTTACCTCCAAACTCGGTAAATAGCCTGAAGATCATAAGTTGGATTCCATGAGCCATCAACTATGACCACACGATTAGCGGCATGAAGATTAATGCCCAGGGATCCAGCTCGGGTTGATATCAAAGTGCATTTCACCCTCTTATTCGAGGGCTCATTGAACCTCTCTACCAGCTTTTGCCTTTCAGAGCCTTCGGTACTCCCATCTAGCCTATTTAGCACATTAAGTTAAATAGTGTTACAATAACAAGGAGATTAAGAAATGCTTATTGTTAACTGTCAACAAAATTCCATTCGCATCTATCATTTTCTTTTTCAAAATTTATTTAGTAAAGATTTCATTCAACAAAATGACAGTGAAATAGAAAATTTTAAGATAGGAAAACTGCAAAGGATTTTGCGGAACCTAGGTTGCTGCATAACATATTACATCATCTTATATAATGGTTGACATCAAAGTTGTCAAGGCAACATCCAGACAACAAGGTGCTGTTGGAAGGTCACCTCATCCAAACAACTACATGTTTTTGTATGAGGTGCCACATAATATTTTTATATTTTTCATTTGATGGTATTTATAATATTACAATAGATATTATTATACTACACTACTCTTTTTTTTTACAATTCTTATAGTAGTTTCTTTTCTTTCTTATTTATCTTCTCATAAATATGTTGATTTTCTATGTTTTGAAATAAGGTTTGTACTTTCACGAGGATTACAGTCTCTATTAGTTAAAGGTTACTGTTGAATACTATGAAAGCTAGGGACCAACCTAAGATTTATATTTATTTAAAAAAAAGAAAAGCGAACTCCCACCTAGGAAACAAGACACCCCCCCTCTCACCTAGCTTTGCCTCGGTTGCATGAAAACCATTCTTGATACATGTACAATTAGAAACATAATCTAATCAATTACAAACAAAAGCCCAATTATGTGTACCATATAGAAAAATGTGAGCCTAAAATATACTCATAATAGATAAACATAAAATTACACCAGTATAAATTATATAATCAATTATCATGGATAACCAATAAAAAGTCATAATCTAATCAATTACAAACATAAGCCCAATTATGTGTACCATAGAGAAAAATGTGTGAGCCTAAAATATACTCATAATAGATAAACATAAAATTATACCAGTATAAATTATATAACCAATTATCATGGATAACCAATAAAAAGTCATCACAATAAGAGTGACTAAAAGCTCAGTAGAACATAGGAGTAATCTCTTGCAGCTGATCAGGATTTAACACACCCCTAAAAATAAGAAAACGAAAGAAATAAAAAAGCAGCCGGACAGGAAGCATTCTTCATACATGTTTATATGCAAATCACATACAAACAGAACAAAAGAAGAAATAGAGAACAAAGTGAAGAAAATAAGTTGGGGTCATGGTTTAAAATGTCAACATATTTCCATTTCCATGGGTACCAACACAAAATATAACTGGAATTGGCACAATCCCTAGCAAAAACTAATGGTGCTATGTGGAGAAGTGCACAAGGTAGAATTATAACATGATGAGTTGGCAACAGCATTGTGGATATGTGAAATAGCAGTATTATCATGCACCTAATGGAGATGACAACCACTTTGAGCCAAGTTGAAGTTCTTTTTTGGATTTGATGGTAAATCTTAATTTCTTTTTTGTTTATTAAACTATTTGCTTGATCTTTATAATTATTCACATACTGTAACTTTAAACCTTGCTTTAATTCAAGTCCACGGTACAACTTTCACTGTATCATTTTGTCTATTAACCTTAGTTTCTTGGCTCTGTTTGATGATTTGGAACAAGATAATAATCAAAAGGAGTGTCCATATGTTTTCCTATCATTTCATAAAACATCATTATATATTTTTGCATATTTCACAATGTTTCCACAATGTCTACAATTTTTACAATATCCCCATACAACATTTCTGACATATTACCTATATTTGGATGACCAAAATTTCGACTAACATTCATTTCCACAATGTCTACAATTTCTA